CTTTCTGGGACACACTTCCTGAATTTCCCAAGAACTAAGCCCTGGGTTTGTATTTGCATCATTTCCTCCCCAAAGCGGAGCAACTGGAAGCGTTCCCCCAGATGCAGATGTCTGTCAACCCATGAAAAGTAGTTTTATACCAAGAGGTGAGGTGTCAAAGCCAACCCCAAGCTCTGTAGCGAGAAAGCGGTGAGAAGGATACAGACATATTCCAGATCCTGGTGGGAAGCACCCCTTTGGAGTGAGCACTCCCACGAGCCCCCACCAGAATCTGAGCATGTTCTCACAAGCTCGTGGGAGTGGAATGGGGCTCTCAGTTGTGCCAAAGAAAGAGCAAGAAATCTTCAAGAACGAGACAAGGGCAGCAAAAGAGGCAGGGCCAGGTGGTACCCTCTTCCATCGGTTACAAAGTGATTCTGACGTATGGGTCAAGATACGTGACAAGCTAAGATAGGAAGCAAAATGGCAGGACAAAACTGGGGCTTCTCTGCGAAATCAATGTGGTCGTTAGAGATCACCAAGATTTATAAGACTTGTAGAGAATGAATTCTACTGAGACCCTCCTGAGTGCTATGTCGGCAGAATGGCGACTCTGACAGGAAACCCAAAAATCTTCCCCAAACCTCTAGATTCATGGGTCGTGCCTGGCTATGAGCTCTAGGAAAAATTAGGGCTCCAGGTTAACAAGGTCCCAGCTCTCCTTCCCCCTTTCCTCTCCCTGTCTTCCCATTCTCTCCACACTCTGCTTCCTCACCCTACTGCACAGACAGAGGTCAACAGCTGGGACAGTGCCTCTCAAGTGACATTCTGTGGTCACCAGGTCAACATCAATAGATAGAGCTCATCAGAAAGCTGTGTGCTTTGGTGATCTCCTTTTGGAGTAACTTTATACTTTCCTGCACCTGTAAGACTTTATCCATATATTTTTCTTAGGGCTGCCCCCAGTGCCCAATATGGAGCTTGACATAGAGCAAGCACTTACTGTGCGCTACTGAACTACATCACAGGAATCCATCTCAGCCAGAGACCATGGCCTTTAGATGAATTCCCCATCTCCCTCCTGAAGATGTGTTTATCTGTGTAACTCCCACTGGAATTCTGAATGTTGGAGAACACATGATCTGTGGCAGAGAGAGATTATCAATGTAATAACAGTCGTCACGTTGATCTCTACGAGTATGGTTTGTGCTCATGTCTGTGTATGTCTCTGTGTGCATGTGTGCACACACTTGAGTGTATTATTATCAGCATTTGTATCTATTTGTATCTCCTTCTCCACCTCCGCCCACTTACATCCTCACAGCCATTGCATCCCTCTGGTTCAGTTCCTGGTCCAGGTAGGCATACAAACCACAAGGTGATGATCTCTTAAAGTAGGTGGGAAGAGGAACATCTTTGGCTGTGACTTCAGTGCTGCCATGCAATTTAGGACAAAATCCAAAACTCTTCCATGTGACTGACAAAGCTCCCAAGCCCTCAGCACCATTTACTTTTCACTTCAATTCACACACCACCTTCCTTCTCCAGAATGAATGCCAATTTTCTTAACCACCATATATTATTAAGTAGCTCCTAGTCTGCTATATTCCCTCCAGTGCACTAATTAATCTGTTTTTCATTTTTCTTGAAGTTATCTTTCAAGTTTTTGAAAAATTGTATAGAAGCTTCTTTAATATTTACTGAAATAAAATTTGCATAGTGTATAATTCACTGATTAGTGTCCCCGCTATATGCCTCATCAAACATACAGGTCTGTAATCATTTTCACAATTAATATTTAAACTAACATTCCAGTCAACTCAACAAAGCCTCTCATTAAAAAAAAAAACACATTATTTATCTGGTAGCTGGATAAACCGTGGTAAATCCATGCATCAACACTAACACCATAGGTCTGAAATGCATTATACTGAATGAAGGAAGTTAGATTTAGGAAATTTCATGTCAAATAATTCTATTGATATGAGAGCCTAGAAATGAGAGAACTATGAAGATATTAAATAGCCTGTTGGCTGTCAGAGTCTGCAGTTGTGCAGGGATTACAAAGATACATAAGAAAATTCCCTACTATTTTTCTTCATAGCTTTTATTGTTATCTACTGTAACCTTGATAATTTATTTACTTATCAATTTTTACCTTACTTAAAGGCACATTTCAAGAGGACAGGGACCGTACCTGTCTTTTTCCTGTATATATTTCAAAAAAGGTAGCCTGATGCCAGTGACCTGAAGACTGTTCAATCATCCCTTATTGGGTAAAGTGATGGTAGTGTAAACGCTCTCCCACATCAGCCTTTGATCTCAGCCCTCATCTTTAATCCATGCTCATGGCCCGTGAACGAAAACTACCTCCTACACGTCGCCTCTGGTTATTCCTTTCCTCTAATTTCATAAACACACCATTCCCTGTCATCTTTTTACCTGACGACTATAACAGCTCCAAGAGTAGTTTTCTTGCATTCAGACTTGCCTTTCAATCTGTCTTTAACTGCTACTAGAGACAAGTGAATCACATCACATCCCTGTCTTAAAGAAAAAGGCGATGATTCCCCCTTCCCTGTCAGCCAGCCTTACTGTGGATCTTCCCTCTTTCAAGTGTCCAGTTCAGATCCCCATCCTGATACAGAACCCAGAACCAAACGCTGTTCATTTGTCCTAAGGGTAACATAAACCAAGTATGTGCCTCAGCTCTAGAGAGTCCCTGATGACTACCCTCACCCACTGGTGTCCCTAGTCATCGCTTACATCAAGACGTCAGGTCACCAAATTTAAGAAGAATATTAAAGCACTTAGAGCCATCAGTGGAAGTCACATGACTTTAAAGCAGGGCATTTCTCCAACAGTTACAACCATAGCCTTAGCTCTAAAGAGCCTCATGCACTGGATTTTGAAATCCTACATGTTTCAGATAGATACAGTCACCATTTCTGGTCATCCTTTATATTTTGAGAAGAATTAAGATGTTGGCATTTACTTTTATTGACTTACACCAATTGCCTGAAACCGAGTAAATGCTTAATGGGATCTTTGTATAATACTAGCAAGAGTGGGGAAAATCCACTTTAATATATGCTACCAAATCCCTGAAATATGAAATCCATATTACCATTGTCTTTTAGTGTCCAAAGGGGACTAGTTCCTGGACTCCTTGTTCATTGGCACCAAAACTTGAGGTTGTCCATGTACCTTATATAAGAAGGCACAGTACTTGTAAATAACCTACGGGCTTCCCATGCAGTTTAAATCATCTCTGGATTACTGCCAATACCTGATAACAATACATGTGCTATGTAAATATTTGTTATATAATTTAATATAATGACAAGACTGAAAAGTCTGCATATGTTTAGAATAGAGGTACTTTATCATAGCCATAAATACATTTTGAGCTGCAGTTGGTTCAACCTATAGATATAAAGCCTTGGAAAAAGATCTCATCAAAATTATACAATCCAGAACATTGACACCATCATAAAACCCTGATATCCAAGTATATATAAGAAACTAATGAAGAACCAGACTGACTCCATGTTAGGCTTATTATAGGTAAAGACAAACTAGGTTTGTTCCTGTTTATGAAAAACCTCTGATTTTAAAGGAGTGTGCTATTCCCCACCTGTAACCTTAACTACAAATGGTTCTGTACTGCCTGTTCCAGGAATGGCAACAGTGTCTTTGTTTCAAAAGGTTATATGACCACTTATGACTACCTTGGTATGACCACCTGTTACTTATGACTACCTGTCATGACCACCTGTTGTGATTGCCTTGTTTGAACCCCTGTCATGTTCTGCTCCTGTAACCCCACCTTTTTTCCCCCATTTAGAAACCCTTTACCCCTGAGCTCTATGAAATCCTTGTCTTCCTCATATCCAGTGCTGACCTCTTGAACCCCATCTTGGGTGGAGGCAGCCCATGTACACAAATTAAAAGGCTTGCTTTAATTAATTGCTGGTTTTAATTAATTTAGCCATGATGATTTGGTCTTGCTTCTCACATCTTTGGAATTAACACTCTATGGGTATATTGCTTAAGCAAGTGAACAAATGAAAACTTTCTAACGTTCAAAATTGATAAAATAACAGAACACAAATCAAAGCACAACCATCACCTGCGTCATCGATCATCATAAAACTATTGCTTTCTCTTAGATAATAAATTGGTCCTATGACTCATTTCCCTTTCAAGTCATGGAAATACTCCTCAAAACAAAGTTTATCAATAGTCCCCAGTGGCATAACAATCTGCAGTGGAAGAACACAGTAGATGAGAACACAACTATACATCTCATTGGCCTCGTCAAAAAATTATATTCCTGTAAAAAAACTTGTCCCCCATCAATTTAGTTTGGAAAACCATCCCCAGCCCTGCCTCTCTTTCTCTTTATCTCTCCGTCCCCACTCTAAACACACACACTTGGTACAATTTAGGTACAGTTTCCACTGCGGCCCACCTAACATGCTTCATTTTACCAGGCACTTGAGACCCAAATTTGGCCAATCAAAATCATCAGACATAATGTAAAGTTATGTATATATGTAAAGGAAGAAATGGGGTCTTACTTTGGTTTGCTTCCTTTTGGATTTTGAAACAGGGTCTCACTATGTAGTCCTGGGTGGTCTAGAACTCACTATATAGAACAGATTGGCCTCAAACTCAAGGAGATCTGCCTGCCTCTGCCTCAAGCTTTTCCTTTTGAGATCATCAACTCTAAGAATAATGCATACCTCTGGCTATAATTTTCTACCCTTTTTGAAAACGAAAGCAACAATTAAATAAAGCCAGTAATATCAGTGGGATAAAACCCTAGTAATGTCCATGGATCCATGGATCCAGCCAAGACTTGAGCCAACCTCCCCCTGGATTTGCAGACTTCACAAACCAATGAAGGACCTCTTTCATCACCAGGTTGGAAGGCACTAAAGAGTGAAAGCTTATGATTTTTGCCTGTATACTCTATAGTTTCTTTGGAAACCATGAATTTCTCTGGGCTCATTTACCTGGAAATGGTAGAAAATTTAATCTGTCCATTTTATGTGATGCAGAAAAATTCTTCATGTGAGTCACAAACCTGGAGCAGGGCGAGGGTGTTTTTTCACCACGAGGGCTAGACTGTGAGGCAAAAGAGAAAAATAAACCAAACAATGTTACTTCTGTGACTCCACAAACAGGGGCCCCCCACCTACAGCCCTTACCTCACTAAATGAGTCACCTTGGAACAGCACTTTTGTCTCTTTATTCTTGAAAAGTTATAATCCTGAAAACAACTACAATTGACTCCCACTGCCCATAGCACACACACATTGTGTGTTTCATTAAAGGGATTAGTGAACACTTCCTGGGCATGCAGGAAGTGTTTTTTTACTCAGTTTCACCATGTGCCACAAACGGTTCATGAAACTGACATTTTAGTGAAGGGTGACATACATTGAACAATAGATATCAAATGGAGATTTTTTGATGTTGACACCAAGATGAAAACTAGGTAAGGTTAAAAGTAATGGGGAAACGTTAAGAGCAACACTCTTCATTTTTAATTTTTTTTAATTATCTGCATATTTGGAGGGGTATGTGTACATCAGTGCGGTTCCTTCAGAGGGCATCAAATCCACCGGAGCTGGAGCGACTGACAGTTGTGAGCCACTCTATGTGGGTGCTGGGAACCAAACTCATGTCCTTTGTAACAACGGTAACTGCCTTTAACCGTCGATCCATCTCCCCATCGCCGCCCCCCACACACACACACACTCTCTCTCTCTAATTTATATACAGAAATAAGATACAGCTTCTCAGATGGGAGTACTTTAGAATTAGACTCACGGGCAAAGGCGGTAGGTAGTATGTGGTGACCTAGAGAAGGGTCACTACAAACACAGGGAGTGTCTAGCAGACCAGAGGGTAGAGCTGTGGAAAGGAGGAAGCAGTCAGAAGGCAGGAGAGGGGATGTTCAGGTCAGCTGCTGTGACCTTGAAGCAATCAACAAAATTTGAGAGGGGAAATAGCAACAGATATTGAATGAATAACAATGAATTAAGTAACCAAAAGGACGATTTCACCTGATTATAGTGAGAAGCAGTTTATTAAATGTTTTGTCAGTACCAATTGTCCATCAATGTTTATATGCCATTTTCATTGTTTGGATATGATTGAACATTATATCATTGCTTAGATACTGAATACCATTGTATGTATAACACTTTCAATATTGAAGACAGTATCTATCTCAAAGTAGAACTCCTAACAGTGGGAGCAGGGCTGTCCCTAACGCTTCGGCTGGCTTTTGGGAATCTGTTCTTCATACTGGTTCCCTTGCCCAGCCTCAATACAAGAGATGGTGCTTAGTCTCACTGCAACTTGATATGCCATGCTTTGCTGATACCCAGGAGAGGCCTGCCCCTTTCTGAACAGAAACAGAGGAGGAGTGGATGGCAGGGCTGTGAGGGGGTGAAGAGGGGAGATGGGGGAGAAAGTGGGAGGAGAGGAGGGAGGGGAAACCGGTCAGGATGTGAAATAAATAAATTTAATTGATAGAAAAAAAAGGAAAAATATTAACTAAGCCCTTTCTTCCCCTTAAGTCATCTTTGACCAGAGTGTTCTGTACCAGCCACAGAAATGAAGCTGGAACAATGTCCAGTTAGATCCCTCCATTCCTCTCTGCAGGAACCCGGACAAGCTGTCGTCTCTGCTCCTCGGTTTCTATTTTTTTTTCTAGGGCTTCCTTCCCTGCAATCGTTATCCTTACTTTAAAATGGAATGCTAAGTAACCCTCCAAGGCTGCAGAAGTAGCTGTTGTAAGGAAGTCCCAAATCTGTTCTTCCCAAACCCACATCATGTAGCCTCCTTTTCTTAGTGCGGGCACATCCAGCCACACAAACGCACAAAGCCGGGCAGGTGACCCTGGCCTGTTTCTCTCTTGCTCTCCTGATCTGCTCAACTTTGAATCTCGCCTCTCAAGATCCTCAGACCCATTCACTCCCCCACAGTCCTTTAGTAACCATGAGCTTGTTTGCCTTCATAAAATTATCCTTTTCATATTCTTTTTTCTGAAAGAAAACCCTAAATAAGGTACACTCTTCACTGTGTTTTAAACAGCTGTCTATAACTGTCGTTTTTAAAAATCATCTGGAGAATATATATTTTACAATACAAATTCTGATGCAAAATGCCTATGGCAGAGTTCAGGAGTATATAGTGATTAAAAAAGAAATCTCCCCAGGCAATTGATGCAGATAACAAATAACTTCTATTAGAACACCACACCGGGCTGACTCAGTAGCACCACCCAGAAGCCTATTACACCAGGAGGTTCTCTCAATGAACCTACATCTACTCAATCAGGATCCGCATCAGCACAGTTTCCAGCGGATTAAAGACCTAGACGACATTTTGATGTAAAGGATTTAATGCTTTCTGCGGGCAAGGAAGCTGGTCGTGAAGCAGACTCCCTCCTCTTCCTCTGCCCGCAGACCAGAGGACTCTCTCCTCTGCAATCTACACATGACAAACTACGGAAAGCTGAGGCATCAAAAGCGAATGCAGTCCATGCCCCTCGCCTTATTCACCCAGTGCCTTAGCATAGCTCCTGCTACAGGAGACATGAGGATTTATTGGTCTATGTTGGATTGAACTGAATAGAATTGATGTTTCAGAACACACATTGAAGTGCACTGTTACATTCAGAGTGTGTGTTTCATGGAGTTGGGATTGAACTGGAATGATGGAGAAGAGGCTGCCAGCGTCATGAGACAAATGGACCTCATCCTTAAAGAAGGGACGGCTCACTACTGGGCAGGGACAGCTCTCCATGAAGACCCATTGCAATCACTTGGTTCAGTACCTGACCTGGGCACGAGCTCTGTATTTTAAAGCCCCCACTTTTTTTTTTTTTTTTTTTTTTTTTTTTTTTTTTTTTTTTTTTTAGGGAAGCGCAAACTTTCACCACCAAGATACAAGAACAGTCAATATTGATCTTGACAAATGGCGCACCTCATGCCACAGGCCGCTCGAGCGTCTGCTCGGCACAGCAGCCTTCCTCCCCTTTGTCAGGAAATAATGCCAAGTGGCCTCGTGCACTATCAGCTGCAGATCACAAATATTGAAAAGAAATAAATTTCGCTGAATGAAAAGCACCTTTCTTTGTCTTCCAGCCCTCTCTCCTCCCAGGTCGTGTTGATTTTGGGGCTGTGCACACTCCCAGCACCTGTACTTTTCAATTGTTTGTTTGCCAAAGCCCATTGTGGTTTTCTTTCTTGGCTGGAGGATCCATTCTAAGTACAGTAGCCAATGAAATCCTATTTTCTTTCTCCCTTGGCATTATGGAAGGGACGCAGCAGCTTTGGGCCACCTACAGCAACTGTAATTAGAGGACACAGGAGGACAGAATGAGAAACTGGAGCTCCTGTACCTGGACTTCTCCCTTAGGATCATGGGAAATGCATCACCCCTGCAGACCAAAGGCAAAAACAGGGATTTCTACAACAGCCTTATTGTTGGGTGGAGGTTTTAACATCATTAAAGGGGATGCTTTTTAACTTGTGTTGCGGAAATCTGCAACCATTCTTTAACTGAGAATTGAGACCTAAACAATAACAACATAAGAAGTAATCTTGCAATGTGTGTGCTACAACCTGAATAACCACAGAGGTCGAGTACCTGCTGTGGGAGTGGGGAGGGGGGGATCTCTAAAGCAAAGGGCAATAGGCTACATAATGCTTTGGGGAGATAAAAGGGAAGCTAGGAGGAGTAAATGGGGAGGAGAGAAGAGGAGAAAGGGAAAGAAGGGAACAGGAGGTGGTACAACTGACATGGAAGCCTACTACTGCAGAAGTTTCCGAAATACGTATACATATGTAAAGGGAATTTCAATGAAGTCACCGTGTCATGGGGGAGAGAATGCATCAATTAGACATCCCATGCCACCAAGTAAAACCACCAGTGCCAGAAGTGGGTTACATCACGTTGAGTTGTTGGCCAAAGGGGTCCCCAGCATCACAAACTATCGCCCCGGCTAGCGGTTGTTCTCCACGCCCTGATGGGAAAGCCTTCTTGCTGAGGAAAACACTTAGGTCATGAACACAGACACAGAGTTCGTGCTGACTAGATGCTTCACCCCTGCACCGTCTAGTGTTCACCGTGCTGGAAGGCACTCTGGACACTGCCAGAGGAGAACAGGAGTCATTCCTATCACCCGGTGACCAACCCAGTGACCCACAACAGTAACCCACCTACGAGGCTACTCCGACCACACACAAGGGCTTCTGTCATTTTTCTTTCTATTTTTATTTTTACTTTCATGAACTTGGGAGTCCGGATTACAGTTCTGGATCCACATGGCTTGTGTAAAGCCAATACTTTTATTTGAGCACATCACTGCATCCTCCATCCTATTGGTTGTGGAAACTTTAGTTAAGGACCAATGGCAAACAGAGATTCTGTCAGAACTCCTTGAGTGGAGGTTTCACGGTGACAGACTGCAGAGGCCGAGGCTGTGGCAGTTCTCCCACTACAGCAAGGCTTCCTGTCACTCTTTGGATGAGAAGGGCTGAGCTGGGTGGCCTGTATTCCAGTGCTATTCTTCCTGGGGCCCAGTGTGCTGTGTTTGTAAGATGCGGAGTCAAAAAGCAAGCTGTGTTCCTGGAAGTTTAATTTTACTCTAGGTAAAATTGATTGTTTCTGATAAGAGTTAGTACACATGAGGCTGCTACTCACTGACCTACACTCACTCTGTCTGCCTTGGGAAGAAATTCCTAGGAAATCTACTTCTCCCCCAAATTAAAGGGACAATGCTTGCTACCAGCCCTTATGCCTACAATCAAGAGGTAGGTTTTATTGTTGTCAATACCTGGAGTAAACCCTAGAGTAAAAAGCCGAAACAGCACTCCTTAGGTGCATGCCAACTGCAGCTGCTTTCGGCTTCTTACAACATTCAAAAGTTACAGGAAGTTTCAGAGGAAACAGGGAAATACCATGGCTCTTGTACAGCAGGAAATTCAGATCCAAGTAAAATGGATTTGTACAAAGAGTCATTTCTTATATAAAAAAAAAATTTATCCTGCAGGCTAGAGAGGTTGTTCAGTGGTTAAAAGTATTGGATGCTCTTCCAGAGGACTCTGATTTCTATTCCCAGCACCTACATGGCAGCTCACGATCATCTGTAACTCTGGATTGAAAGGATTCAATATCTTATGATCTCCAAGGAAACTAGGCATGCACAAATGTACATGCAGGCAAAATAATCACACAGAAGATAAAACATAAACTTAAAAATTTTAAATTATTGTGTAAGAATAATCACCTCTAGACATACTAAAATTTATATTTCAAAATAATTCCTCATAAATCTAGCCCAATAGAATCTATAAACTACACTAAACGACATCAGTAACAGCTGAATGAGAAGGGTCCTTCTGAAAATAAAAAAAATATATCAGAAATTGTTTATAATATTGAAAATGAAATTGCTAAAAGGAAAGGATTTCAATAATGTTCTCATAAGTAGGTTTATAGAAAGCCAAAAAATCCTTATGATCACTTAAGATATAACATTAATGAAAAATTATTCATTATAGTGCACAAAATTGATGCCAAAATATCATTTTTTTAATTTTGTGGGTCCTGACTAAAAATTATATGTTGCTATTATTTATGGCACATGTATTAATAATAAGGTATTTTAAAGCTAAAAACTGTATTGTTTTATTACCATTAACAGGTGACATTTACATTTTGCTCTGCGATCCAGGTCTTGACAGTATCTGTAGAATTTTTCAGAATAAATCTTAAATTCCCACAGGCAATTGGACAAGGGCAAAAATCCTGAGCCCAGTGAATAAATTCTGCATCTCTTCCCTGTGTCATTTAGAGGTGGCCTTTCTGTCTTGGGAGAGCACTTCCTACCACAGCTTAAAACATCTAAGACCAGTCTCTGGCCACATGATTAGAAAATCATAACATCTGCCATCTCCTGGAAGTGCGAGTTTTCTAGAGTCAAAGACAGCACAGCACAGACGCACTTCGGTGACTCTCTGATCTTTGGCATCTCGGGCCGGTGCCATTCTGATTTACATTCTTTTGTGATCTGTCCGGGTGATATTTGTTTTATTTATATCCTTTGTCATGCATCTCTGAGAACGTTAAGATCTCTTTGTCACTATTGAAATAAGTTTCACAATAAAGTGCCATAGTGTGGGTTTTCTTTCACTGTCTGGGCGTTCCAACCACTCCTCTCGACCTGGAAATTCCTGTTTTGCAGTTTTACAAACCTTTTCCCCTTTTCCCTTTTTCTTTTCTTTCTTTCTTTTTTTGTGCGCGCATGCTCGAGCGTGTGTGTGTGTGTGTGTGTGTGTGTGTGTGTGTGTGTGTGTGAAATGATTCATAGACTCTCTTTGTGTGTGTCTGCTCTCTTCCTCCCCTCCCTCCTCTTCTTTCCTCCCTCCATCCCACCCCCTTCTCTCTTGTTTTCCATTTTCTTTTAAGTTTTCCTTTCTACTTTCTAGGGACTTCCTTCTCTCACGTGGCACATCACACAGTTCCTCTCCAGTGACTTTCTTGATCATGCGATCTCTTCTTTTTAAACGATGGCATCGTAGCCATGTGTTTGGGATAGTTCGTCTCTTCTCTCATTTGGGTGTGGGGTCTGCAGGATCAGGTATGGATGAATTTTGTCTGTTTGCTTCTCTGGACTCCCCTCTTCTGTGTATTTCAGTCTATCCCATGTTAAAGACTTCCCTTGGGGACCTGAAGAGGTTTGACTACCCATTCACTTTTTCCTTTAATTTTTTTCCCTTTTAAAAGTATTTTTTTTTTAGCCAGGTGGCAGTGGCACATGACTTTAATCCCAGAACTCGGGAGGCAGAGGCAGGTGGATCTCTGTGAGTTCAAGGCCAGCCTGGTCTACAGAGTGAGATACAGGACAGGCACCAAAACTACACAGAAAAACTCTGTCTCAAAAAACAAAAAAACAAAAACAAATAAAGTATTTATTTTTGAGAAATTATTTTATGGACACAATGTATTTTCATCATATCTATCCCTCTATTTCCACTCCCATTCTCTACACATTATTTCTCTCCTCTCTCTCTTCTCTCTCTCTCTCTCTCTCTCTCTCTCTCTCTCTCTCTCTCTCTCTCTCCCTCTCTCTCCTCTCACAAATTCATGACCATTTCCTTCATGGTTATTGTTGAGAGATACATAGAAAGATAGATAAATATAAACTACTACTACTAAGCCCAATTCATGTGCCCATATGTACTTTGGTATAGGAATAGTCAACTCATCGGGCACACACAACCTATCAGGGGACTTGTCCTTGAAGAAAGCTGACTACCCGTCCCTCAGCAGCCATCGACTTCCTGTAGCTCTTCAACCAGAGGTGGAGCCTTGAGTGAGCTCTTCTCCATCCATGCTGGAATGTTGATTGGTATGGCCATGTGCATGGAACCTCACTGTTGGGAATTCGGGGGCACAACATCTCCATGATGGCCAGGAGACACTACTTTACAACAGTCCCTTCACTTTTCATAGTAAAGCACTAAACACTAAAAGTCCAGCTCCAAGCTTCAGACTCAGGTGTCCCAACACCAAGGGACAGCAAGCCTGTCTTTCCTATGACAGATTCCTGGTGGTTCAAGAAAAAAACATTTCTTAGGCTTGTTTGTTTATTTTCTCAAATCCAAGGCTGGGAGATATTCTCCTGGATGAAGAAATCCAGGGGAACAGAGCAGGAGGAAATGGTCTGAAGGTCCTTATATAAGGCAACTAAATAAAATTTCAAGGGCTGGAGAGATGGCTCAGGGTTCCAGAGATCCTGAGTTCAACTCCCAGCAACCACATGGTGGCTCACAACCATCTGTAATGAGATCTGGTGCCCTCTTCTGGCCTGCAGTCATACATGCTGTATACATAATAAATAAATAAATAAATAAATAAATAAATAAATAAATAAATAAATAAATAAATAAATCTTTTTAAAAAATTTCAAGATATTACTGTGTAATCTCCATGTCATCCTCGAGTTGAGAACTTTTTATCTTTGTTTCCAGGAAGTCAATCCTTGTCTTGACTCTGCAGGGTGAGCCAAGGGTGGTAGAACTCAGAAGCCAGCCTCTTACCAGCCTCCTTTAAAACCTTCCCCGCCCCCCACTAGCTGGTTGGTAAATAAAGGAGACATTGGGATCTGGGTTTTCTGTGGGTATAGCATGAGAAAATGCCTCTCCTTTCAGGCCCCTGGATAGACATCTGTTGGAAGCCATTGCTTCCTGTCGAAATTGTCATTTTTTTTAAAGCATCTTTACTTTCAAAGAATTATTGAAGCAAAATCACTTGATACACAGTCCCCTCTGTGACCTTATCCTT